TAGGAGTCTGGGTCCCCAGAGTCTTGCCAGAAACTGGAGTTCAGAGCAGTCGGGAGCTTGTATCTCTCTTCCAATTGAAAAAAATCAGTGCACCTATTTGCCAGCCCATTTTGCCCACCTCTGTACCTCTGCTCTTGGTGCCTCTGCACCTCCTACCCAGTTTCAATGCGCTTTTTTCGTTCCTTCTAGTTGTAGAACTTCCACTCAGCCAGCTTTCCCATGGTTCTGGATGATAGCTGTTTTATCTTTTAGTTGTAGTTTTGGTGTGGTTTTGGGAGGCAGCACGTACAAGTGTATACCTTATGCCACCATCTTGGTTTCTCCTCTGGGAAGCTCTTTATCTGTCCTTCAATTCTAAATGATAGCTCTGTTGGGTAGAGTAATTTTTGGTTGTAGGTCCTTGCTTTTCATCACTGAATTTTTTTAAAATATATTTTATTGATTTTTTACAGAGAGGAAGGGAGAGGGATAGAGAGTTAGAAACATTGATGAGAGAGAAACATCGATCAGCTGCCTCTTACACACCTTCCATCAGGGCTGCGCCCACAACCAAGGTACATGCCCTTGACCGGAATTGAACCTGGGATCCCCCAGTCCACAGGACGACGCTCTATCCACTGAGCCAAACCAGCCAGGGCTCACTGAATATGTCTTGCAAATCCTTTCTGGCCTGAAAAGTTTCTGTTGAAAAATCAGCCGACAAATCCCTTGTAGGTAATTAACTGTTTTTCTCTTGCTGCTTTTAGGCTTCTTGCTTTGTCTTCAACCACTTGCATTTTAATTATGTGTCTTGGTGTGGGCCTCTTTGTGTTCATCTTGTTTGGGACTCACTGTGCTTGCTAGACTTGTATGTCTATTTCCTTCACCAAGTTAGGGAAGTTTTTCAATCCTTATTTCTTCAAATCTATTTTCAATTTCTTGCTGTCTCTCTTATTCTTCAGTCACTCCTATGATGTGAATGTTGGTAGCCTTGAAGTTATCCCAAAGGCTCCTTCAAAGGCTCCTTTCACTGTCTTTATTTTTGGAATCTTTTTTTTTTTCTTTTCTATTCTGATTGGGTGTTTTTTGCTTCCTTATATTTCAAATTGTGGATTTGATTCTTGGCTTCATCTACTCTATTGTTGATTCCTAATACATTATTTTTCATTTTAGTTAGTGTATGCTTCATTTATGACTGGTCCTTTTTTATGATGTTGAGGTTCTTACTAAGTTCATTGAGCATCCTGATAAGCAGTGTTTTGAACTCTGCATCTAATAGATTGCTTGTCCCCATTTTATTTACTTCTTTTTCTAGAGTTTTATTCTGTTCTTTCATTTGGGGTGTGTTTCTTTGTCTCCTCATTTTCATAGTTTCCCTGTGTTTGTTTCTATGTATTAGGTAAGAGATGCAATGTCTCTCAGGCTTGGTAGAGTGACCTAATGTAGTAGGTGTCCTGCACAGTCCAGTGGCACTACCTCCCAGATCACCCCAGCTGGGTACTTGAGGTGCATTCCCCATGAGGGCTGTGTTCACTCTCCTCTTATAGTTAAGCCTTGATTGCTGTTGACAAGTCAATGGGAGGGATTTATTCCCAGGCCAATCAGCTGCAAGGACTGGCTATGATAACTGACCTCTGGGCAGCAAATAGGATGTAAGTTGGTTAGCATTATACTTTGGTTATATTAATCTGCTACTGTTGATAGCAACTGATTAGTTCTAACTCTTGATTACAGCACACTTGCACTTCAAAAGTTGGCCAGGTATGTACAGCTGACAGCAATGGTTATCCAGTTGTTTTCACTAAATGCAACATTTTTAAAAACTCACAGGATAATAGTTTTCTCAAGAAAACAACAAAACTGTCCAGTTTTCTTTCTACTAAATGGATTTATGAATAGGAAGTGTTTGTTCTTTTTTAGAGCTGGGTTTATATTTTGATAGTCTAAGAAATATTAAACAGTCATCATTTTTTTCTGCAAATATATTGAGATAGGTTATGTGGTGAAATGGCTGTAACTCATAAGGGCTACCAGGATTATCTCAGAGATAGTAAGACACCCCCTTCCCCAAACAGATTTATGGCTTAGAACAAGCAAGAGAATAGCTCAATCCAACACAGGTGACTAATTCCACCTTGTGGTAACCCCTAGCCCAGTGGTCGGCAAACTGCAGCCCCTTGAGTGTGGCTCTTCCACAAAATACCACGTGCGGGCGCTCACGTACAGTGCGATTGAAACTTCGTGGCCACACTCAAGGGGCCAAAGAGCCGCATGTGGCTCGTGAGCCTCAGTTTGACGACCACTGCCCTAGCAGCGAGAGACTAGCTCAATCCAACACAGGTGATTAATTCCACCTTGTGGTAACACCTAGCCTCATTATTTGCTCATTTTGCAATACATTAACATACTAAAAGACATACTACAGTGATAGGAAGTAGAACACCCATATAAAGACACAGAATGGCCAACCATGCTCTTCCAAGAAGTCTCCACCTTTTCCCAGAAAATTTCTGAATATTCCTCCCCCTCATTGAATGCCCTACCCCTCCATTAAATGAGCCTCAGTGAATGAACTAAATCCCACTGGGGGCAGGGGAAAGGCTGTTCTGTCTGTGGAGTAGCCTTCTGTCTATCTCACTGCTTCACTAATAAGCTCTCTTTCCCTTTGAAATCCACACTGGCTAGCCTTTGAATTCTTTCCTGCGGGAAACCAAGCACCCACAGTGGGTAATGGACCTTTGGGTCCTGGGACCCCTGGAACACCTACGTCAATATGTTTAGTCAAAAATTCCACTGCCACAACTGTAGTTAAGAGTCATCAAGTACATAAAATAAGCCATTTATTTATAGGGTGAAGACAAATAGGCACTAATCCAAACTTTTCTTCTTCAGAACAGCAATATACCTTTTTTTTCCATTTTGTAAATCAAATCCCTTTATATAAATCTGTTCCTAAGCAAAATTTATGTCCCGACTTTAAATCTTTTTAGAGATCCCCTGGACCTAAACAATAAATGGCCAGAGATCAGAGCTGACTGTTCCTTAGCAACAAATTAAATGTTAGTACATTCTTGATATTCACATGGTCTCTTCACTTTTGAAAGCTGTTTATTAAGGTCAAGGTTAATTAACACTTCAGATAATAACAGAGGTCTCCTAGTCACAGTCAAGAGTTATTCCTGTAAATGTCATCACATCAGTTACAGGAAATAGGGGCTATTTATAATCTCACTCACAGCTACTTATCATAGGAAGTTGTCTGTGTTTAATCTTAGTGAATTATGGAAGTTTATTTTTTCTCAGAGCTACACTCTAAACAGCAACTGTCATATACTAATACAATATTTGATGTAGGACTAAATGGGTAATTCTTCTTCTTTATATCTATCTATATATGAATATTCCATGTGGTGAGACCAAGCATAATAAAATCTACTAGGAAAATATACTTCAGAAAGAAAACTAGATAGTGGTATCCCTTAAATTCAAATGATAGAAACCAGAGATGCACTACAAGAAATACATCATATACCATATTTCTCTGAATCATAATGAGAATGTTCTATTAAAAGTTTAACAAAAATATCTATATGGAGGCACCTTTAGAAAAACAGAATGTATAATTAATAAGTTCAGAGGAATAAATTTCAATTTAAAAGATCATTTGAGATATTTATCAAATGAGATATTTGCCTTGCAAAGAGATGATATTCTTTTCTGTATTTCTTTTTAATAAAAAGAAATAATGATGACACAATTCTAGCCAAACACTTAGGTTACTTAATGATCACTGTAAAACACACAGCATTTTAGGTTAATAAAAGTGAAAGCTAACCACCTTCCCCCCAAAAGGCATCTGATATGAAAGAAAGTATATTACCTTTTATTTCATGTTGGCTTGCTTCTCGTCTTCTTTCCAGCTCTTTTCTGTCGTAATTCAACCTTTTTAAGCACATAATCCCATACTGTAAACTTGTTCTGTTATTTTTTAAAGTAAAAAACATGTTAAATATACTCAGCAGATGAAGAATGTTCCTTGATTAATCAGAATCAACAGTGTGTACTACTTTTAGGGCAACAGGTTAATACCTTACATCTGTAATTAAATTCTTTAGTATTTCAGGAAAATAAAATTATAGTTATCTAACTAAGCACACAGTGTTTCTAAAGAGAAAAAAATACTTGCAAAACGAGAAAAGTATAGTCTTGAAAATAATTATGGATTATGTCATTTATTCATTTGCTTTTGTCTTCCATTAGGCTATTTTGACAAGTGAACATTTCATTCTTTTGAAAATAATTTAAAGAGTCATTATTATGGAGACAGGAAGGAATATATGTGAAATTTATACTCTCCTTTAAAGCTACTAGTAATGAGGACAGTAATATAAAAATATGAATAAGTGAAGTAATAAGATAACCAAATACTAAGATGATCAGCCACCAACTCTAAGTGATACAGAAATATGTGAAAGGAACAAATCGGCAGACATTGGAACTCTGGAAAGGAAGGGCAGAAACTTGACTGATCCTTAGGATCAGGTGCAAAAAAAGGGTTATTAAAGAAAATGGAGCATCATGACCATGGGGCTGCAGATGAAAGTTTAAATGCCTGGTGATACTGAGGTACACTATCTGGGATTAAAATCCGTGGTAGGAAGTCAAGAGAAATAATATTATATAGAGAGAGGGGAGTTCTATTAAGGAAAGCTTTGCATTCAGTGTAAGTGTGGAATACAGAAAGAAAAGCAATGAAAATTTCTGGTTTAAGAAAGAATAATCTGGTAGCAAAATAGAAGATGAGGAAAACCGAGGGGACAAGGAACTCAATTAGGGTGTCAGGGCTGCTAAAATAATGGTCATAATAAGGACAGTTGCCACGGGCATGGACAGTGAACCCAGAAACCAGAAATGTCTAGAGAGAAGAAAGGAGGAGGTTTGGAAATATCAGATATTAAGGATGTGGAAGAGTGTACTAAAAAAAGAATCTTCAAGCTTCAAGAGGAAAGAACATTGATCATTAGTGATCTCTTAGGTGTTTAGAAAGACACATAAATTTATACATACACATTGGCCAGGTTACTCCTAAGTGTTAGATGCAGTCCTAAGCCCTGCACTTTAATAAAGACAGTGTGGAGCTCAAAATACTTCACAATTAGAGGAAAATGAAAAGAAATCTGCATTGAGTGAGTGTTACAGGCTGAATTATGTTTCCCCAAATTCATGTTTAAGTCCTAACACCCAGTAGTACTTCAGAATGTATTTGGAGATAGAGTCTTAAATGAGGTAATTAAGTTAAAACACAGTCTTTAGAGTAAGCCTTATTCCAGTCTGACTGATGTCTTCATAGGAAGAGAGAATTTGGACACACAGAAGGGAGCTATGCAGGTGCATTCGCAGAGCAGAGACAGTGTGAGGACACAGGAGAAGGTGGCCATCTGCGATACAAGGGGAAACCAATCCTGCGGGCACCTTGATCCCAGATTTTATGATTCCAGAATTGTGAGAAAATAGATATCTGTTGTTTAAGCCACCCAGCCTGTGGTATTTTGTTATGGTAGCCCTAGCAAATTAACTCAGCGGGATCCCATAAAATGTTGGTATAATAAACATCATAGGCATTAGGCTGCTTGAGGTTAAATCAATGAATCTTGGCAAGTTTCTGGCAAGTTTTTATATGTAATATAAAGTTGTGCTATAAAGACGATATATCTTATTAAAACAGTGTCTGTCAGGTTTCCATCCATCATGATATGCAGTATGCAGTTAGGTACTACCGGCTGTACATCAGACCTAAGCACAGAATAAAGATGAATCTTGTGTATTTCCTGGAACAAACAAGAACCTTGCCATTTAAGTAATTTTATTTTTTTTAAAAGAAAACTTGATTATTATAATAATTATTTCTACTATAATAATAAAGTGATTAAAAGTAGATCTAGTGAAGAATGGGAAGAAATACAAGTGTGTCATCAAAAATTCTAGTATGCAAGGGGCTAATGCAACTATGCAAAATTTGAGGGCCTAAATGCTCAGTGACAGGGAACTCATTATCTCACAATGTGTATGCTATAGGGCAACTGAGAGTCATACAAAGTTTCTATTGAACACAAAGCACTCATCTTAGTATCTACACCTGTTTGAACTAGAAAAGTGCATGTTCAACAGAACAAATATTATTCTCCCATCACATAAGTATATTAAAGCATAGAGAACTTATCTGAAGTCTTCCCATATCCAAGTTAAATATCTTTAATTTCTTCAACCTTTCCACCAGGCTTTTATCACTTTATCAAGAACAATTTAATGTATATAAATTAATACAATTTGTATTGTCATCTCACCATATGGTAGGACTACTATTATGCCTGCCAGTAAATACAATCTAAATATGCCCTGGCGAGTCATTAACCCAAACTGAGGTATTTGTGTCAACTACAAGTCACATATCTTTCTCACTTGAACTATTTTTAAATCAAGGATTTTCCATCCAATATTTTAATGGTTTTTAATATACTATGTTATGGCCCTTGTGGGTAGCTCAGTTAGTAAAGCTTCATCCCATATTCCAAGACTGCAGGATTGATCCCTGGTGTGGGCACATACAAGAATCAACCAATGAATGCATAAATAAGTGGAACAATAAATATCTTTCTCTCTCTCTCAAATCAATAAATAGAAAAGTGTTATATTTATCTGTATCTCATTTAATCCAACAGTGTTAATAACTCTATTAAGATTCAAAGTATTTGCATATCTTTGATTAAAGAGTCCCAATTATTATCTTTTTATACTACTTGATGTCATCATATATGATATTAAGATTTTTTTTTAAAGAGAGAGGAAGGGAGAGAGAAAAATGAGAAACATCCATGTGAGATAGAAACATTTATCAGTTGCACCCTGACTGGGGATTGAACTCCCAACCTAGCTATGTTTCTTGACCAGGAATCAAACCTGAAAACTTTCTGGGCTATGGGATTACACTCCAACCAACTGAGCCACCTGGGTGGGGCGATGAATCTGATTTTATATCATTTTCCTTTTAGTCCCTAGTTTACTGTTGGACAGGATGTGACCAAATAGTTCCCCAAGCTGAATTCATTTATATTTATTAATTTACCATCATAATCAACCATACATAAGACAATCACAATCTAACTGACAATTTTTCACATAAACCTGCAAAGATATCAAGCTGCAACATAACATTTATGACATGGTATTATAGCAAGCCTATTTTTACTGCCTCGATGGCAAACAACTTGAAAAAGAAATTGCATTTTATTCATCTGTGTCCTTACAGCTGTCTCACAATCCATTCAGGATTTTTTTCCCTGAAAATTAATGTAAAAATAAGTAAAAGCACTAAAAGACTTATACAAAAGCAAAAACACAAAGTGTTTTTTACAGCAGAATTTCTTCTCAAATTTTTTTCTAGTATATCCCTAAGTTATGTAATTTATAACCACATATATTTATAGTTAAAACTAAATTAATTTTATTCTTTATAAAGAATTTTATAATAGAAAAACATACATAGATAAAATCATAAACATGGGATTTCCAAAAATAAAGAAAAAAAACTATGTTGTATGAAAATTTTACAAATGCATAGTTTTATAAGCTTTGGGCACATAACATGCACACAGTGGGACATTAGATAGGCCCTGTAATTTGCTGCATGAAAATATTTTGTCAACTAGATATTCACAGAATAACAAATAATCTCTATTTCCTAAATATCTCTTTTTGATTTAGTTACATCTCTTTTTGATTTAAGCAGTCATGTGCTGCTTAAATATGTACATTATTCATTGTTTTACTTTAATGACTCTGGAAGAAACCTACCGATGAAAACTATCCACCATTTTTAAATGGACACGGAGATCCTTTTTTGTTAGATGATCTAACATTCTTGCATCTACCAAGCACTCCATAAAGTAACTTCTGTATTGAGGTAACCCCAGGCTGGGAAGCCATTCATTTCCAATCCACTCGTGGTTCATATCTCCATATGCCAGGGTCTGTAGGAAAACCGGACACTAGAATTGTTTTATAGCAGTCAAGTTTCTTAGCCAATAAAGTGAGATGGTAATTGGGGGTATTGTCTACCATTATAACTGATATTTAATTACTCTGATATATGGAAACATGGCAGAAATAATATTTAACCTCTAAGATGTGATTTACTTTGGTACAAAGTAGAACTCTGTGTACATATATCAAGGTACTTGCCTATAGAAAATGATGTTTTTCATTTTGTATTCTCAAAAGGAATTACATTTTATACAAATGTGCATTTTTAATGAAAATTAGAATTAATGATATAATACAAATGCTGAGCTTAAGGATTCTTTATATAAATAGGTTTATTTAATATTTTATTTAACTGTTAGCTAATACTCCACCATTTGCTTCTCTTTGATGATGTGACATTGCTATGATATAATGGCAAATCATCTTGATGTAAAAAAGAAAATAAATAAGAAAAGAGCAACAAGGCTAGAAGACAGAATGCTGAAGTTTAGGTGGACAATTGTCATTACCTAGTGAAGCATGAGCCATATTTCATAAAGATTATTGGAAAGAATCAGTCTTTTTGAGAAATTAATCTATATAGACTCTATATTTAAAGAAGTAGGGCATGATCAAAAACAAAAAATGGTAATCCAATTCTTTAATATAACAAGATGAACTGATCTTACCAAATGCTGTTTGTAACAGCCAAAATGAAAAATAGAATCAGACATCACCTCTAAAACAATTTTTAGTAAAGATTATTATTCTATTAATTTTACAGTGTTTGTCCTTATCAAATGACAACTGGAATTGCATATTTCTAACAAAAATCTAGGTGCTTCCTTTTTGGTGTGTTCTTAAAAATGATGACATTTTTACCAAATCAAAACCTAATGCAATGCTAATTTACTGAATGTTTAAATATAATAACTACTGAAGTAGTTCTTAATAATAACTACTGAAATTTTCCTTATTGTCACAGGTTTGAATTGCATTAACACATAGTACACCGCTTGATAGTGGCAGTATGTTCTGTGAAATATGTCCCTGTGTGGTTTCATCATTTTGGGAACATCACAGTGTGTACTTACACAAACCTGGATGGTATAGTCTACTGCACACCCAGGCCATGCTCTAAAAGCAGCCTTTCACTGACCACAATGTTGGTACATGACTGTAATTCTTTCAGCTATACAGCATGTGGAAATGCTAGGAAATGCACAACTTCCCTGTGAACATGTTTGCTCCAAGTGAATATGTGTGTCTTCTATTGCCATCCTAATAAATGGGAGAGACTTGTGACTTGCAGTTGCAATGCTGACAGCATCCCTCCCACCCTAATCTTCATACACTTCCCACTATACTTGAAAGCAAATGTGATTCCAAATAAATATTTAATTTCCCCCACCCTTATATCCAACTTGAATGATTCCTGATTAAATATATTCAGGGGTGATTTCAGAGAAATTTAAGTTACAGTTGATACTTTTGAAGAATAAATGAGAGTTCCCTTTAAAAAGAGGCCAGGTGTAAAATGATAATCATCCTCTTTGCAAAATATGGTGAGCTAAAAGGATAAATATAATTAGGCATAATAAATTTAAATGTGCATGTTAGTCTAATTTTAGGCAAAGGGAAGATTTACAATATTGTGATATAAAACAGTTTCTTACTTTATATCCTCATAGGGTACTAGTGATACTGTTTTAAAGCATTTGAATTTCCTACCTGGGCCCAGCTTCCTTCCTCAGATTCTTTCTGTGTTAGCAGCAGAGAGTGATTAATAAAGCAGATAAGTGTAAATTAATTTCAAATTATTATGGTGAAATTTCTAAAAAGCAAAATTGTTATTGAAAGTGCAAATTATGACATAGGAAGCTAAAGACAGATTCTTATTCAGATCACAGTAATCAATTTAGCAGTTCAAAGGCAATTACTAATTAATAGTTTCTAATTAATTCCAACTAAACACACACTCATGACACATGGAATTTTCATAATATATTTGATCTGGTAATTCTAAACACTTTTTAATTCTTAAAAGTGTGTACTTTTCCAAATGTAATGAATTATAATAAAAATTTCTGATCATATACATAAAAACATAATACACAAATATGGACATATACACATATATTATAAAATATACATTATATAGCTATAGCCTGCTATACCCCTATGCAGTTCATTGTTTTACACACACACACACACACACACACACACACTCATACAAGCATACACTCACACATATACACATATGATGGAGAAATCTTACATAAAGTCAATTAATGAAGTGGAAAAATAACTGCATTACTCTAAGAGAGTTTTGTGGTAATCAAATAGATTTCTGCAACAGCCAAAACAAGCAAAACCAAAAAAGACAAAACTAAAACAACAAACTAAACCAGAAATAGAATTAGTACTGGGCATTGGCATTTTTATCCACAATAAACAGGATAATACATTTTTCAAATAGGGATAAAACTAAAAGAAGATTTAAATTTTTAAAAAGTTGGTAAGAATAAAATGCATGTCGTGCTCAACTTTGCTACTTTAAATTTAAAAAATGGCCATATGTAATATATTTTTAAAAGTAGACAATTACAATCAGTGTCACCAAGAATTTTTTAAGCCTGTTCTTTGAATAACAAATAACAGAACATTTTTTGGAGCAGGGGATAGGGTAAAATGCTCTCTCTAAAATGCTAAAATACAAGAAATGAAATGATTGCATTAAAAATGAGTATTCCATCTAAATTTTTCTATTACAAATTTTATTAGGTTTGGTAATATGTATTAAATGGGATTGTGCCCAATACTAAGTGATATTTGTTACAAAGTGTTGCAAAGTGGATATATAAGTTGTTACTGAGTAGTGTTTGCATATTACAGATGCTTATGACATTAACCACATTATCACGATCTAGCACTGCTTCACTGAAAAATGCCCAAGTGCAGAAAACTAAAACCATAGCAAAAATGTCAGTTATCATTACATCACACTATGGAAACATACCCCTTACTTCAACCTATCGTGAACAAAACAGCTTTATCATCCAAATAGCAGCAAAGTAACTTTTCTTCATGTTCAACAGAGCCATATGGACTAACCGGGTTTGGTAATATGTATTAAATGTGAATGTGCCCAATACTAAGTGATATTTGTTACCAGTGCTGCAAGAACAAAACAGCCTTATCATCCAAATAGCAGCAAAGTCACTTTTCTTCATGTTCAACAGAGCCATATGGACTAACCGTTTTCGCTGGAGCTGCAAGAGTTTCCATTTCTTCATGGGTCACCCACACGTTGCCTGAAGGCTGCAAGGAGGCCCGGAGGGAAGCCGTGGGATCCAGGGAGGGAAGCGTGTAAAGGAAAAGGCAGAGCCACAGTAAGTTGACACCACAGCAACACGGCCTCTGTGCACCAGAGAGAGCATTGCTGACTTGCTCATGGCTCCCCTTTTCTTCTACTTAAAAGGATCAAAAGAAAGAGGCATTCTGTGAAGCGCCTGTAAGACAGATTTAAAATAATACTTCTGTGTTTATTAATTAGGAAAATGGCTTAATCAAAATTTCCCTTTCAAAGATATGTGGCTATTGTATCCACAGAGAATGGATTGAATTTGAACTGTAGAAGAGTGTATTTTTTTTATTTTCTTCAGAAAACAAAGGCATATATATGTTTTGTTCTGTTATCACCAATATTCCATTCACAGAGGTTTGATTCTTCAATGTCCTTTGAAAGAGAAAATTGGTTGTCAATAGAAAGCTAAAAGCACTGTTATAATCTGTCTGGAAATCAATGTCAACTTTTTCCAAATATGTTTTTCCTTTTACAGTTCAGTAAATGTGTTGTTTCCCTCTATTCTTATAGAAGAAAAGGAAGTGAAATGCTATTTTTATTTAATAAAAGGTATTTTCCAGCTTTACTATATACTGTTAGAAATTACAAAATCTATTTCCTAATTTTTCAGCAGTCTCCTCTATCACTATAGAGAACATGATGTAAAAGAAAATTTTCCCTCCAGCAGGCACTATTCCACTATGACACATAATTTACTTTCCAAATAAGACAACCCATGATATTGTTCTATACACTGAATCATGTACAATTTCTAAACCGAAGTCCACTTAGTAACACAAAGGATCAGGCATATCGTTGATGTTAATGGCCAATGGGAACCACTTCTAACCAAATTCCACTATTTAACTGGGAAACATCTACAAACATTGTAAGGTCATCCAAATACATTGATCCTCTAGTTACAATGGAATTTACGTCTTACCTATTGCTTGTTACTTGCTTAGAATGTGTTTAGTTTTAAAGAATTGGAAATAGCAAAGTTGGTATCCTAACATAAGTCACCCACATAATTCTCTCTAGTCTAGCTTTTGCAAGCATTCACATAAGTACCATGTTTGAATTTCCTTCTACTATAAATAATACAATTTAAAACAATTTTTAAAATAACTACATATAAACTAAAATGATGAATATAATTCGATATAAGAGAAATTTCATATATAAGAAAATTACACATAATTGAGTAACAAAGGAGAGCTGAGTAGTAAATACTCATAATTATAAGTAAATCATATGGGCATAAAAAAAAGCAACCCTGAACAGTCACCATATATATGTACAGAATTCTCATTTCTCTACCATTTGGAAATTGGAGTATATCCGATTATTTCCGTGGGATATAACTGCACACACCTGTAAAATATGCTTAGAATACAAGAGCCACCCCTGTCATTAAAATCCCCTCCCTTTTGCCTCAATTTCTGGGAATGATCTTAATTATAAACATAATGGACCCCGTGATGAGTATTATGCTAAAAAGAACTTCCCACCCATCGGTCACATGCCCTTTATACCCAGTGGTCACAGAGCTTTGCCCAAGTGCCTGTGCTGTCTTCAATCTGAGCTCCGGTGATGATCACCTGATAGGAAATTCATTTAAGCCATCTGAATTTACAATGATTTCTGTAGTCTCTACCTTGACTGTGAATTCAAGTAATGAACTCCCTCCGCGTGGAAGAAACTTAACCAGTATTATCTCATCCTAAAATGCATACATGTATAATCTAATAGGTTATCTTAAAGTTTATATTTGCCAACCTGTTACCAAATTCTTGGATGGGCAAAGTGCTGTAAGCTATGGTTTGAATCTGTACCTGTATATGCAACATGAATATATCCAGTGCAATTTTCTACAGTATGGTTGGCAAACCTTCTGAAATTATATGTTACTCATTCACCTTTGATCCTTAGTTCTACTAGTGAGGAACACGGCCCACTCTAGAATCTTGTAAAGTTACTCATAAAATAGCTTCTACACAGCTCAATCAATTAGCCATTAGTCAAGGTTTTAACAAGTTTATTTTATAAGCAAGTCCAGATGTAGCAAGATATTCAGATTTATTTCTTTTTGCCACCAATTTAAGGGATGGAACTTACATGTAGCTAATTAATAAAGGGGTGATGTAGAGCATGAAAGTTTCAGCAGAGAACTTATCTTAGTGAGTAGTGAGAGTAAGGCTTTGAGCAACCCTAGGCAATGAGGACACTGGTGCCTTGGTCCGAGGACAGAGTACAAAAACTAGGCTGGAAAACCAGAAAGGACAAGCCTCACGTCGTTGGTTGTGGTTCTCTGAGAGTCACTAAAATCATCCACTCCCTGCCCTTGGAGCTGGAGAATACAAACCAGTAGTCATTTATTTTTCTGTGTGGCTAATACCATCTGAATCTAACAAGTGATTGATTCGATTTCAATTACAACTTGTGAAATTATCTGGTAATTTAACAAATTATCATCAGGAGGCTTGCATTCTACCAGTTCCACTTCTCAGAAACTACCATAGGACATTTCCTAAACCTCTCTAAATGTTCGACTCTACTTCTGTTAAGTGGCTAAAACCACATACTTCATACTAGAAAAACACTGAAAAGTTTACATTATAATGTAATATATTCTGATACATGCTGGGACTATGATGAGGCAGGTTAGATACCAACTAGATTTAAGGAAGCCTCACTTTCAGGGGTTTACAAGTGCAGGGTTGGCTGCTGATAGTGAGTGCCTCCTTCAATTTTGTGTTTGAGATGACCCCTGCCTCACCTAAGTCCAGATGGAGTTGAATATTTAAACAATATTATCAAATGAAGAACTGGAAGAAAAATTCCTGAAAGATGTGAAGGACTAAAGGACTCACCTAATTAAATCTTTCAGGAGGAAATTATTACATAAAAATGAATGTCAAAGTGAGCTTAAGGAATAAATCATAAAAATTAATTAGGGGAAAATAATGTATTCTCTTGATGTCAGAAAAACAAAATAAGTAAAACAGCCAGAACTTCAGAATAATCCTTAACCTTACCTAGTTTGAAGTAACTTCTGTTACTACTTATGTCATTTTGAAGTATTTTTTAATTTATGATTGTACTAGAGTTCCACTGCATGAAATTCGTGCACGGGTAGGGTCCCTAGGCCTGGCTGGTGATTAGCGCCAATCTGTGGGGTGACAGGCAGGGCGATCAAGGCCCCTGCTCACGCCCGCTTGCCTTCCCTGCCCCCTGCTGCTGGTCGCCATCTGTGGGGGGACCAAGGCCCCGCTCACACCCACCTTGGCCTAGCGCCACCCGCTCACCTGCTCCACCATCCCGCTGCAGTCCCACTCTCATCTGGGCCCATCAGGACTGGCAATGCCTCCACTGCCGCCCACTGCCAGCACTGCATTGCTGATGACTGCCATGTTCAGTGCTGCACCCTGGTGGTCAGTGCACATCTAACTTCTGGTTGGTCAAACTCCCACCCGTGGGGACAATTTGCATGTTAACCTTTTATTATATAGGACTAGAGGCCTGGTGCACAAAAATTTGTGCCCTCGGGGGAGGGGGACCCCTCAGCCCGGCTTGTGCCCTCTCGCAGTCTGGGACCTCTCAGGGGATGTCCACCTGCTGGCTTACGCCTGCTCCCCAGGGGATCAGGCCTAAGCTGGCAGTCAGACATCCCTCTGGCAGCCCGGGAGCCCTTGGGGGATGTCCACTTGCCAGCGGGGAGCAGGCCTAAGCTGCAGTCTGACATCCTTAGCGCTGCTGAGGAAGCAGGAGAGGCTCCCACCACCACCGCTGTGCTGGAAGCTGTCAGCCTGGCTTGTGTCTGAGAAGAGCTCCCCCTGTGGGAGCACACTGACCACCAGGGGGCAGCTCCTGCATTGAGCATCTGCCCCCTGGTGGTCAGTGTGTGTCATAGTGATCAGTCATTCCCAATCATTCTGCTGTTAGGGTCAATTTGCATATTACCTTTTTATTATATAGGATAGAGGCCTGGTGTACAGTTGGGGGCTGGCTGGTTTGTCTGAAGGGTGTCCCAGATCAGGGTGGGGGTCCCGCTGGCGTGCCTGGCCTGCCTGGGTGAGGGGCTGAGGGCTGTTTTCAGGCTGGCCACACCCCCTTCAGGGGGGGGGGCCCCACCGGGGTGCCTGGACAGCCTGGGGGAGGCGCTGGTGGCTGTTTGCAGGCTGGTCAAGCCCCCCAGTGAGGACCCTCACCCCATGGAGGTGTGGCCTGCTTGGGCAAGGGGCTGAGGGCCGTTTTCAGGCAGCCCACAGCCCCTTCAGGGTAGGGGGTCCCACTGGGGTGCTTTGCCAGCCTGGGTGAGGGGCTGATGGCCATTTTCAGGCTGGCCATGCCCCCTGGTGACCCAAGCTCCCAGCCTCTCCTTTTTTTCTATTTTTTTTCCCAGGGCGGCCTGGAAGCAGGTATCTGGGATTTATTTATCTTCTATAATTTAAACTTTGTAGCCTTGAGTGGAGCCCACGGCCAGCCAGGGCAGGCGGGAAGCTTAGCTTCCTCCATTGCTGGGGGCAACCCAAGCCTCCTGCTCGCTCCAGCTCTGTGGCCGCCACCATCTTACTTGGGTTAATTTGCATAGTAGCTCTGATTGGCTGGTGGGTGTGGCTTGTGGGTGTAGCAGAGTGACAGAGTGATGGTTAATTTGCCATCTTTCTCTTTTATTAGTATAGATTCCAAAGTACATTGACTTGAAATTTACTTTCACATTCAAAATGGCCTAGATCCACATTTTTCCCTTTTCTGAATTTATGTCTCTCATTATAAGAAAGTACATATTTTCCATTATAATAATTATACCTCATCTTATTCACATTAAAGATTAAGTTTTATGAGGTTAATAATAATGAAAGGGGGAACCGAAGCAGATTTGATGGATACTGTAAAGGAGAAGGAAAACTAGGAGAGTACAGGAAGCAGGAGACGCACTTGTTAGGATCATAGATTCTGGGGAAAACCACAT